CATTCTCTGAAGATGGGTAGACGAGACAACTACCCGAAACGTCAGGCTTGTAGCAAACCTCTCCCGGTGAACGCTCCTCTTTCTTCTGACAAAACATATATTCGTATCACATATAACCAGTTTTCTGTTCGACGCAATCAACTGAGAACAGAAAGGTAAAAATGCACAAACCGTGAAAAGGTTGTTAAAGATAACAAGAACGCAAAATGTTTCAAAATTGGGTGACTTGTGCGTCAGCACGCGTGCGACAACAAGGTAAGCCATGTTTGTTTGTTGATATGCTCATGAGAAAATACCTAAAATATTATGATAGTGTGTTGTCGGCTTCAACGCGAATTATTATTATTATTATTATTATTACGGAAAGCCGAAACAAAAGAGCTATAGTATACTGAACTTGCTGGAAGGTTATTGCTGTTTCATTTAATTAAGGGGATTACAGAGTAACACAAGAAATTCTTTTTCGGTTATTCAGCTTCTGCTTACAGTTTTTGTAGTAGGCTATAATTTGTCGTGAACCTTCGAAGTTCGGCCCATGGGCTTAATGGGTTTAGTGTTAACGACTAGCTTATTTTGTCATTTGTGCTTCCTTTAAACGCTGGAAATAAGTCCAGTGCACGCAGGAATTACAAGAAAGCATTGTTCTTATACATATAGATAGCAAAAGGTACTTAGCTATCCAAAATTGCCACAGATCTTTACCAAAGTTAACGGTTAATCAATGACAATCAAGCTTAATCTATGAGAAAAGCACTTTAAAAGTTTGATATGAGTCTTGAATTATAGGCGAAGAGAGAGGGGTTTCATAACAACTGCTATGCATTTGCCGCAAATTTTGAGAATTGTAACGCATTTTCAACACAGTAACTTGTGTAACTTAATTGATTTACTTTTCATCTATAATCGATATTTCCTGAACTGCAGAAGGCCAAATCCTTCGTATTCCATATTTTTGGCGTTAGCACCAAGAGGCATGCAAACAAACAAACAGAAAAGCTTCTAGCAGAAAATGCAACAGAAACGGGTTCAACGATTGTTTAACTATGTATATCACTTGTGCGACCTTTTCCGTCACTTTCTGAAGGTACATGAACTAATTACCGGGCCAATATGCTTTTAATATATGTTTATTTTTCTAGCTACAAAATATATCGCGTTAGAATCACCATAAGTAACATGCGCGTGTGTGCTTGACAGTCGAATTCGATTAAGTGCATCAAGTTCACCAACAAAGTGAAACTAAAGGTGACAGCCTCCGGGGGTAGGTTATAGTGCCCACGGACGTAGTTGGCGCAAAGCGCACCCCTTACCCGTGATCATGAAGACCGAATGCGATCGGACGTAGTGCGCTTTATGCGGTGCATGCAAGGAAACTGCCCTCATTTATTTCAGTTGCAGCTTCGGCTTAACGGAGCATCTGCTCATATCCCCTCGATCCCAGCGTGGAGTGTGGATCTGGTTTTTGCTATTCGGATAAGCTGCATCTTTTGAGGCCTGGGGCAGATCAAAGTCTCCTTTGGTGTCCGCCCTCACAACTCCATCAACCAGAACGTACCATCTTATTGCTTAAAGAAATGGTATTAAGTAATAGGTCAAGTTTTACCATACCTTTATGTCGACTGGTGTCACTTACTGTTATCAGGATAGGTTTTTTGCATTACTAAACTCTATTTTGAGGTTTACTAGACGCCATCTGTCTAATGGGAGAGGAATCTTCTCCATACTTAACTTATATTGTTATATCATATTATCATATATCATATCATATATAACCTATTTATATCCTATAAACATGTTAGTATCTGAGTAATAAGCAGTAAGCATAAGAGATGGGAATATGAGCACGCCAACTGTCTCATATTCGTGTGGTTATTGCGTCAGACGCTTGGCCTTTCTTGCGCGATTGCGGTCTCTGTACGGGGTTGCAGATCAGCAGATAGACGCAGACTACGGCGGACTACACGACAATCTCGAGGTTCCCACGAGCCATAAACCGCAGACCCGACCTCTGTTCTTTCAATAGACATAGTCCTTTCTGCCAGCAGAATATCTCAAGTTTGAATTGCCGTAAGTAACGTACAATCTTAACAAATAACAATTTGTCATGCCACTTACATGGCAAATGTCCCGCCAGTCACACCAGTATGCTGCCTAGCGGAAGAGCTTGCGCGCTGGAATTCGCCACATTGCGCATATAAACTGTACAGGTAAGGAGTTAACGCAGACCGCGCCAGCACCCTTCTGTGCTCTCTCTCGCCTCATGTATACATGACTCAGTCATCTCCATATGAGGGAGGCTGATGACGTGATATTGGAGGGTGAAGAGAGAGACTGAGGTCGACGGCTCAGCGCTCTTCCCTCATTATAAATAACCTGAAAAAGTGTGCTAGAAGGCCTGGCCTGGAAACTTGTCAGTTGACTAAAAGACTCGTACCGCGTGGTCAGCCTAATGCAGATTTTGTGCGGACTGGCCAAGTGACGAACTTCGAGTTGGACTTCAGTGTCTGCCCATTCCATTCAGCTAGACTCCGAGCCGCCTTCTATGGACTCGCGACTTCGTCTTGACACCGGGTAGAGGTGCGTGAGTGGAATAGAGAGTGGGGTTAATGAATCGCAGTTCGTACCTATCCCAAAAATATAAATGAAACCCCGATCGGTTGAGAAAGGATTAAGTTAGAAGCACACATGGCACTATACGCGTGCACACGGTTGATTCTGGACATCGTGTTCACCCAAACTATCCCCACTGGGTCACAGCTGTCAGGATGGAAAAGCCGAAATGGTGTGCACAAATGGACGTTCTGGAAGCTCTGCCTCTAGCATGATAAACGGCCGTCTACCTGCATGCACATTTTCCCGTTGTCTCTCCTCCGCTACTCCCTTCGTCCGGACTGGATCTACCAAGCCCCCTCCGCAACGTAACCACTCATACGTCATGGACCCCCCACCGTCCCCCTGTATTATTATGTCTTACTTTGATGAAATCAAGAATAACTGTGACAGCATATTTTACTCATGAACTCGTTCCTGTACAAATGTTATGGTCTAAAGAGAAAGTTTACGTATATTCGCCAAGTGATTTTCGAAATTGTACATTATTCAAGGCCTAACATGAACAACTATTGCATGCGAACAATGATAGACCCTCCACCTTCCCCCCCTCTGCGGTGAATCAACCAAACCCCACCTCAACGTAACCACCGGTAACTAATAAAACCCCACAATTCCTCGCTATAAGTATTTGTCACATTATATACCTATAGTTTATTAAAAAGGAATTTGTAAACTTGCAACTCAACGTGCAGACGATTATCGGTTTTCGTAAAATGCCAGATAAGGTTACCAGCTAGGAGCTTAGCGCGGAATCAGTGGCCAGTCTGGCAGTGGTTTCTAAACACGAACGTCATCTGCAACCTATCCCGCGTCACGTACACCTGACTCTGTCATGACCCGGCGAACGAGGAAGATAGCATGACACTGGGGGTGAGTGGAGAGAGCGAAGTCGACGGCTCAGTGCACTTTCCTAACTAAGAACAATTAGACGCTCTCTAAGCTATTCCCGACATTGAATCCACACCATGTATGTAAACCTTTTGAATATTTTCGGGATTAAGATATATATCGACATAAACACGATTTGCAGAACGGGAGTGCAAGGAGTGCAAATAGCTTTTTATTTATTTCAACATATTGTATGCCGTCTCTTTTCAAAACAGCATGCAAACCAGCATTCCTCTGAGAGAAACGTATGGAGCGTCATAATATCACGCAGGCCAGGCCAGAAATCGTGAGTGACAGGGAGAATACGGACACTAAGTTTAATTAATTTGCACCTTCTCTGTCATCTGCGTCCTTTCGTGTGTCATCTATTCTTGACTCTGCTATGTTCTCGTGAGCGAAGAAGATGACTTGAGTCTGAGATGAGGGGGGAGAGGGCATGAAGTCCACGTTCTAGTGCCCATTCCTCAGTAAAACCAAGCTGACGCGCTACTAACTACTCTCGATATTAGGATATTAGTTAAAATTCTCACTGCTAACTCCACACCATCTATATAAACATTTTGAATATTTTTGGTATAAAGGAATATGCACATAAACACGATTCACAGATTTATATAAGAGCGATAATGTAAGGAGTTTAAAATTGAATTTTTTTACTTCGATATATTGGAGGCCGTCCCTTTTCACAACAATATAAAAACGAGAAATCGTCTTGGCGATAAGTATAGGGTGTCTTAGTATCACGGAGAGCAGACCAGACTAGACATCATGAGGCCACACACAGTTCCATCGCTGACGACTAGTACGCTCTCCTTTTAAGTGACAGTGTTTGTTTCGCGTATTGGTAACACAGCATCCGCTTAAGCATCCTCCGGTACTTGCCCCAGTAGAGAATGTAGACAAAAAAGTTTGCCGTCGAGTTTATCTGACAGCCCAGTGCCACCACATAGGAGCAGGCTTGAAGAGTGACCATGCAGACACAGGTAGGCTGACGCAATATAAGCAGTGAAAGTACCTGAAGTAAACTAAGAGGCAGCATGAAGAGAGTGAAGGTGACGATGACCATGAGGAGGCCGCGGGTTAGTTTAATGCGACGCGCATTATTGCAGGCGGAGCTTTCTTCGTTGACCTCAGTTTGCGCGAATATCTTCTGTTCCGGCTGTTTCCGCCGGAAATGATCCGATTGCCGCAGAGCACGTGCAATCTGCACACTGCAGAACATGAGACTTAGCAAGGGGACTAAAAAGACCAGGATAGCATCGGTGAAAGAGTGCATTTGTGCAACCCACGCCTTCACATCCGACAACTCTGGTCTCACCTTGTTGATTACTATAAATGAGATGACTGGAAGTCGAACAAGGATGGAAAATCCGAAAAAGGCAACTAAAAGGACGTTAGTTATCCTCCCAGTCCACAACACTTTGCTGCGAACTGAAAAGCTGATGACAAGGAAGCGTTCCACGCCAATCAGTACATTCAACCAATTCCGGAAGCATTCGAGAATATTGCCGAGCGGAACAATTATGGCTGCTAAAAGAGGCAATTGCAACGCACACTCTGGACCACAAAAAGTCATTGGTTGGAAAATGAGCAGGGAGAGAAGGAGGTACAGGACATCAACCACAGATAAGACGATCAGAATCTTACGAGTGGTTCGCGGCGTTGTCTTGTCTTGAGAGAACATGCAGATACTAAGACCGCTGGTTACTATACCAACCACACACACCGGTATTCCGAGAACAGAGAGGACAATAAGCCGATTGTAGCGTAGAAAATCCCAGTATGTTGGACCTTCCGGCCAGGCTTCCTGCATCATACAGGGAATGCTGCCGTTATCGGTTGTATTCGTAGCCATTTTGTAATTACTCAACTAGATAATTACGTGTAACTATTCTGCAGTTCTGCGCTTAATTGAATGACTTAGTTCTCTAAGTATAGACC